AATTCGGGGTGCGACCAGAGTCACGGAACGAATTAAGTTTGTAAACTGAGGTTCCACTGTAAATGTGACATATGATACACTTGTATACCTTTGTGCATATATGTGTGCATAAACCTTTAAGAAGCAACAGTCCCAAAAGGCTTAGGGCCAGTTCAAAAAAGCATTAATGTTAATTCAACTAATAACTATTGAATAAAATTATTGCCTGTAAAACAAGGTACCCTATTTATAGTTAATTGATCTACAATCTTTATTCAGCCAGCCATTCTCACACAAGTCATTGTCACACATAGAAATATACAAGTACATTCGCCGATATTCCCCTCCTTTCTTCTAGTAGAATCAGCCAAAAGAAGAGAGAGAGAGAAAATATGTAATGTGTAAAAGAAAGAGATAGCTGCATGAGGAAGAGAAGGAAAGAAAAAGAGGGGGCTAAGCTAGTTGGAGATGTAAGATGTAACGAAAAAATATAATTGCACGGAGAAAGGAAAGTGAAAAAAATATCTGTTTCAGAATTACAGAAAGGATTAAAAGTTCAGGAAACAAACAACCCTTCCAAACTATGACTAATTTTCAGGTTAGTTTTCAAAAACATCTTTGTAGTGATATTTGCAGCCATTTGCACTTCCACCCATTTATTTGAGTATCTTCTCAGAATAATATAACATTCTCTCCCAAAGGAAATATCTTTGCCTTTCTTTTGGATAAAGATGGTACTCTGAAACATGTGTAACCAGCAGAAGACTTTTAATAGAATCATTTTTTGCCAACCTTCTAACAATAGTTTTTCTAGCTACAGTACTTCAGTCAGGGAGTTTCTTGGTAAACCATTATTAGGAACCAGAAGAAATTCTTGTGGAGATTTCTGTATAAATGGAAAATTTGAGGAGTTTGTAACAGCTGCTGTTAGCCCTTCAAGGCAAGCCAGGTCATGGAATAGACAACACAAGGACTACTGGAATTCTACCATACTGAAACTTGAAAGCCTGCCATCTGGCTTGAGAGTTTCCATCTGCCCCCTCTTATACCAAACAGAATAAAGGCAGAGTTATTTTGAATCCCTTTCTCATACCTTCTCCTTTCAGGGCTGAGTTGTTTACTTTCTTACAACAGTTCTTGCATTCCTTCATCAAAGTTATTTCCATACTCCCCTACACCTGCTCAGTAGTTACTTTCTTCATTGAAGAACACCTTTCTGTATTGAAAGACCAGAAAGAAACATGGGTGTGTTGTATTTTGGCCATTAATTTTAATTGTAGTTTTAATTGTAGTGTAGTTACCAATATAAGTCGGGGATTGCTTTTATATAGAATCTATTAACCTCATTCATAGGTTGCTTTTTAACAAATTCCAGGTATGATAGAACACGGTCTTACTGATTGTTCACAGTACCGACCAAGAAAAAGCACATCAGAGGATTTTGGACAAGAAGTTCCACCTCCTTCCAGTTATTGTGTTTCTTTGTCTGCTATGGCACTTTCAAATGCAAATCTTGACACAGTTGGGGAAGGAGAAAATTTGTCAGGAAACCAAGAAAGGGATCCTCAGAGAGTGGATGTGCCTTTATTTCAAACTGAGCATCATCCCAGTGAATGTCATGTCTCCAGGGATCCTGGACAGCACTTGAAACCTCCTTCACGCACTTCTCCAGAATCTTCTGAAAGTGACTGGGAAACCTTAGATCCTAATCTCCTAGAGGACCCTAATTTGCAAGAGGGAGAATGTGAAATTACTTCAGTAGCAGGACAGACTGAATTTCTTCTGAAGGAATCTGCAGTCTCCAAAAGCATTCCAATTACTGTTCAGCCTCAGCCTAACACTGGACATGCAGTGCTTGTACCTGGACTTATTTCTGGTTTGGAAGAGGATCAGTATGGCATGCCATTAGCTGTTTTCACTAAGGTAATTCCTGCAGTACAGGGGTGGACAAACATTTGGTGGCCAAGGGCTGTATTTAACATTTTTCAGGAATAAAGAGATGCAAAGAGGGTGGGCTATCTTACATGTGAGCAGGAATGGTTTAGGAGTTCCTTTATTTTTAACTACATATTTTAGGGTGTATGTGTATTTTCAAATATATCTCACTTCAGAATGACAGGAAATTATAGTGTCAGTTTTGAGTAATTATAGTCGGTGTTCTGAGGAGCACAAAAAGGGAGTTTGGGATCAAAAAGTGCTGAGGTTGCACTCCTCTGCTCTAGTAACTAGTGAGCAAATCTCCATAATTCTAGGACCTCTTTCAAAAAGTGTTGTCATTCCTACAGTTCCATTTTTGAAGAGTGCCATGGATCTAGGTCATCAAATGCTTTGAATATCACCACAGTTGTAGAAAAATAAGATCAAAGCTGTCAAATCAAAGCTGCATGTTTTTGTACTAATGTATTGATGGGGTGGGGTATAGTAAACACATTAAAAAGGAAATGAACTTAACCACAATATGGGCTTTCCGTTCCAACTATCCCGATAATATATGATATCCTAACAGGACCAGTGATGTCCAGCTTCTGGAAATCCTTTGAGTAAACTTACCTCAGGACAAGGGTTCCTAAACCTTTTGCCAGCACACCTCCCTTTAGTGTAATCTTAATTTAAATACCTCCCCTAAACATCCAAACACCAAAATGAACACAAATAAACAATAAAACAATATTACGCTGGTCTATGACCATAATAGATTTGACTGATGAAAACAAAACAAAGAAACTTTGGGAAAGGTGGATTTATTTAGTTACAGGGTAGCTAAAGGGTTCTTCATACCTCCCTGGACTCTGTCTGCACCTTCCTCAGGGAGGTACACCTCACAGTTTGGGAAACCCTGCCTTAGAGGAACACTCCCCACTACAACATTAGGAATGGTGGCACACATTTGTGTTGCAGACCCAGCTAAGTTAGAAACAGTAAATAATGTATCTGAGCTAGCCAGGTCCTATGTCAAGAGTGTCAAAAAGGCAGCATTAATTGACAGTCCACAAAACCTTTTGTAATATTACTATCATCAGCAACTTTATTGCTGACACAGACCCAAATGAGACATTCTGTGAAAATGTGACCCATAGTAGTATTTTTCTAGTTTCTGGCTTCTGCCATGTTTGGAATACTCAATAATTTTTTTCTGTTAAAAGTGAAACTGTCAGCACAAAGCACTCTTAGAGACAGTGGGGCAAGGTGTTGCAAATGAAGAGGCTTCTGATATACCTGGCTTTTTGTCTTACCTGTTTAGCTAATTATTAAGGCATTGTGAATAACTTGAACATTGTAAAGTCATCTTTACTAATGGCTTTTTCAAGTTGAAAGATGGCAAGCTAGAAGTAGTATTTGGGTGATCTGAAGGATTTTCAATATCCCAAGCAATCATTCAGTGATCCTCAAACTTTCAAACCCTCAAATATTAAGGGATTTTTTCCCAGATTGCATGACATAATGTCCAATCTCATACTTTTCTTTTTGCCTAATATTTCTATAGCTTTTCAAGTAAGCAACACATTTTTAAAATAACAGCTAAAATTGTATTATTAACTGATTCTATTTATAATTGAAAATAGATATGCTTTCAGTAGTACCCTTTAATATCAGGGTGTAATCTACATAAGAGAACTTTGATTAAAATAGCACACTTTCCTGAAAAGTACTAGCATACTTGATGGTACTGTAAGAGCACAGATATTGTGAAATAAGGAAGCATGGTTGTTTGCTCTGTAATTTTAACTTTGTGACACAAACTGAAAAAAACTCATAGTAACTTTTCTTAAAGTAAATGCAAATTTCTGAGGTAATCTCCTGCAATTTTTCTACAAAAGGAGTGGGTAATATGTATTCCTGGGTGGTAGAATCTCATACATGCATATTCATGGACAAACACACATTACTCTCCTTCCTCCTGCCTGACTTATCAATACTGCAGCCTGGTGATTGTCTGGAAAGCCACCAGACTTAGAATCTTTTTAATAACAAGAACTAGTTACCCAGATTCTATGCTGTGAGGGTTCTATGATTTCTGAGTCCTACAGAAAGCGATTACTTGGATTACTTAAAAGGCCTTTTTTAGTAGAAAATCCAATAACCATTGACTCTACTTAATATGGAGCAGGTTGTCAAGAAATCAGTAGTGGTGGTAGTGGCATCATAAGCAGGAAATAAGAAGGGAGTAGGCAAGTCAGGACAGATCTAAGGAAGGAAGATATCCAGATTTTGGTAGCTGTCATTTATAAGCATTTTCCCTCCATTACATTTGTGGGGATTTTTGAGCACATTTTTTCATGTTTAAGTCTCTGTTACCTTGTAAAAGTATTTCTGAGTATGAGTAATTGCAAAGTAGAGGTTGTTGTGGTAAAAACATTTTTAAAATAATTATAATTAAAACATCTGTCTTCCTGCTGCATTCGTATTACAAATGAGTGCCTCTATATATCTAGTGCTTGAGTTCATTGCTAACCTCTAAAGATCATGGTTATTTGGCTTTCAACCAAATCAGTCTGTTCTCATTGTCAGATTCTTCTGCGGCAGATATTTTGAGCCTTTGCTATTAAACAGAACAAAAATGGCAAATCTGCGGCTCTTTAGATGTTGCTGATCCTCAACTATCAGTAGCCACAATGGTTAGGAATGCTGAGGGTTATGTAGTTGTTTATATGTGTAGTATGTATTCTGTTGTCATATCTTTCTATTCAATTTTAGTATACCACATGACTATCAATAAATGAAAACTATAAAAAAATCAAAATGTATGTCAGCCTTTCTGCAATATGTTAAAACCTATATAGACATTAATTAACAATTGAAAGCCTAGTCAAAAAAATCAGCTGCTATTCTAACCTTAGATAGAATAGGGACTAAACACAGCTCCTGAGGAAGTATATTCCAGAGTCATGGAGTAAAACAGAAGAAAGCCTTCTCTTTTATACCAGATAATTGAGCCTCTGAGTATGGGGACATCTTCTGAAGAACAATCTGGTTTTAAACCATTTACGATTATCACCAACACCTGAAATTGTACCCCAAAACTATTTGACAGTAATTTGCAATCTATGTGCCACATTTCACACTAAGTACAATTTCCAGATTTGTTTCAAGGGCAGTCTGATGGAAAGCACTTTGCAGTAGTAAAGATGAGATTTGATTTATTTCATTGGTTAATTCGTTGTTTTTCAACCTTGGCAACTTTAAGAGGTATGGACTTCAACTCCCAGAATGGGTTAATTTATGGCTAGCCTTTTCTCCAGATGTTCAAAATAGCTGCCATGGAGATTGCTCTTCATTTTATTTCCACAATAGTCCTTTGAGGTAGGTTGGGATGAAAAAGAGTAAATGGCCCAGTGGATTTCTATAGCTGAGGATGGAATTGAACCTGGGTCCACCCAGCCCTAGCCCAACACCTTAACTGTTATAATACGCTGTTAACATAACAATAGTCCATTGTGTTTCTTTAAAACAAAAATCCCAGAGTGATGAATAAGTGACAGTTTATGCAGTAAATATAATCATTGCTTTTATACTGTGCATTAAAATGCCTAAGTACTTTAAAATTATTCCCCCAGTTCTGCTGTCCTTCTAAATTATAATTTCATCCATAATTAGTATTTTTCTTTATTATTTTAGGGATACCTCTGCCTGCCATACATGGCACTGCAACAGCACCACCTTCTCTCTGATGTAACAATCCGCGGTTTTGTTGCAGGGGCCACCAATATCCTCTTCCGTCAGCAGAAACATCTAAGTGATGCTATTGTAGAGGTATGTATCTTTTCCTTTGCAGTCTCTTATAGCAATTACCTTAATAACACATATGGAGCAAAAGACAAGTTATATATTATAAGGTGCTGATTAGAAAATCTCTTAAATTTTTATAAAAATAATTTGAGATTTTGGAAAGAGATGTCATTTTATAATCACATGGCAGGCAAGCGATACACGTCCTCATGTATGTGTGTGTAAAAAAAAAATCCTCTCTCATCCCAATGGGTGGAAAATGTCTTCCTCAATTTACCAGAGACCTGGGAGTTTGAGGGTTCTGTGCATTATCTTAGCTGTTCCTAGCACTGCATTCTCCCAGAGTGCAGACTGGAGAGAGCTCTGATGTTGTTCCTGGGATCTGTTGGAGCCACTCTCCCAGCTTAAGAGTCACAGCCCCAACTGCTCCTACCACCACTGGGACCACTTTGGCCTTTACTTTCCACATCTTCTCTAGTTCCTCCTTTGGGCCTTGGTACTTCTCTAGCTTCTCATACTCCTTCTTCCTGATGTTGCTGTCACTTAGCACCACTAGTTCTATCACCACCGTTGTCTTCTGGTCCTTGTCTACTACCACAATGTCTGGTTGATTGGCTAGTACCTGCCTGTCCGTCTGAATCTGGAAGTCCCGCAGGTTCTTAGCCCTGTTATTCGCCACGACCTTCTATGGAATCTCCCATCTGGACTTGGGAGTGTCCAGCCCATACTCTGTGCAGATATTCCTGTACACAGTGCCAGCTACTTGGATGTCTGCTACTGTGATGGTGACTGGTTCCTGTTCTGGGAGATTGCTATAGTCTGTTCTCAGGTCCTGTAGTCACTTTGCATTGGTGTTATGTGTCTTCTCTTTCTCTCATATGTTCTTCCAGTACTGTTCAGTTTCTGCTTTTAGTGGCTCTGCTGTTCCTGTGTTGTTGCACTGCAGTAGAGAGTACACCTTGGATGGTTCTTTGGAGAATAGGGCATTTATCTTCTTGGTCTCTGCTTCTCTAGTGTATCTTCTTAGCTTGGTAGCCAGTGCTGTGAGCCTTTGTCTAGGGCTTCAGATGGAGTCAGGCCCTTGTATTTTTCTAGGAGCTGAGTCTTTAATCTCCACACCCTTCTGTAGTTACAGCAGTTAACTAATTTCTCTCAGAGTTGCCTTGATCTTAGCCTCCAACTCATTTTCCGGGG